ACCTAAAAGCGATGTGGGCTTTTTCTCTTTTACCACGAGGAGAAGGCTGAACTGCAGCCAGGTGCTTTTCGGTCCCCCCCCCCCCCCCCCCCCCCCCACAATGCACAGTGTACATCCAAGCAGTCAAGGAGTGGCATACATGCGTCTGTGTGGTTACCATGGTGACTGTAATGGCAGCAAATTAACACTATTGATATTGGATCTTTGTCAACTTTTTATAGAATTCAAACATCAAATCTAACTTTTTTTTTTACATAGATTTTTACAACGTTATGTTGGAAGTTTGGGCATTTCTTCAACGTTTTTCTGGTCTTAAATGTTCCATCGTGTCCTGCGTGGCTCAGAATCTACAGATTCCCCTCCATGTGTACTGTGGTGGTTTGTAGGACAACCTCTGTGCCCCTCCGACTGCAGTTCGGTGCGCACGGGTTTCTGTTGGACTTGGTGAAAAGTCAGGAACCTCTGCCAAAAGTCTGTTGCTCTGTGACAACAGACACTTGGCAGATCACGTTTACCGCCACATACTATCCCCGGTGTCTGGAGTCCTACTGGCGGGCGCTGATGGGTAGAGTAGCAGCACACAGAGCGTGGTGGGGCGGGACATTTATCAGCCAAGTGCTTCCCTTTAAGGTCATTTCACTCCGTCTCTAGCACAATTGGAGCAGATGAGAGATCCTCCCATTAAACCACCCCCATAACTACCTGACTCCACAACTTGACAGCCAAATGGGGGATAACCCACAGATCCAGTCTTGAAACCTGCACCTATTCTTTACCAGCAAGTGTCCCTGTTGAAGGTTAGTTAAAAGGACAAACTACAAACTTTGTATAGATCTAAAAGACAGTCTGTTGCTTAATTCCAGACATGTGTTAAGCAGCATATAATGTGCAGCTAACTGTGAGAGTAAACCTGTGAAGTGATGTGGCGTGCGTACAAAGCATCACTGAAGCCCACAGCAGCCCCCCCTGAGGGAGAGCAGGCTGCCGGCGGTTCTTCTCACGGACGAGGCAGCCTCACAGGGCTCAGTTCTGCGCCCTCTGTCAGTGCTCAGCGGCCGCCCGGCCAGCATCTGCGTCATCGCACTCCTCCACATGGCACGGTCACTTTGAAGCTCGGGGAAAATGCTCCTCGTGAAAAGGAAGCCTGACAGGAGGCACTGTAAACGATATGTGGAAGATTTATACAGTCTGAGGGACTGATGAGCTCGTCCTGACTGCAGGATCGAAAGTCCAGTTTTGCTGCCTGCCGGGGGGTGGGGGGGGGGGGGGGTGGGGGTGTCTCTTTACAACCAAGCCTCGTGCTACTGACAGAGAGGCACTCTGCTGCTTTCATCAACAGTATCTGCACATACTCTGCAAACACAGGCCAAACATTTAACTCTCCACATTCAGCTTGCATCACACAATTATAGAAAGATTATTAGAGCAATAAAACTTAAACGGTACATTTCTGCTTTGTTCGTCCTTGTCAAGGTGACCCTACAGTCCCACTGCTGCATTGTTCCCTGATTAGGAAGGTAGAGGCAGGCACGGTGTGGGACCAGACAGCTGTCATTTTCACGACTGTCAGTGCCTCTATAAATACAGCATTCCAGAAACTGAACGGCCCATGGCAGCTAAAAATAAAGCCTACCACTACGCACAGAAAATCTACGCATCACGTCTGTGGCTTAAGGTCAAACGGAGTGTCAAGATAAAGTGTGTGTTTTAAAGGACTCCAGCATTCCTCAGCGCATGGGTTTCATTCATTGCTCTGCAGAAATACTGATAAGCTGACAGGGAAACTGTACAGAAACACGCTGACTGAACCTCATCAGGATGAGAACCCTCTGAGTTAGGACGAGCAGGGGGGATGCAGGAGATGCTGTTCACCAGGCTGACTCCAACTCAGTGTATGCAGACACACACACACGAACAGGTCTTAATCTCATTTGCACTCACCGCCCTTAGAGACTACGGGTTAATTGGAACATCTCAAAATACACCACTCTTGCAGGGTGAGTCACCTCTGCAGTGGCTCTTTGGGATGGAGAGTTTTGGGCTAAAATTGTGGGCATACCTGGATTTGTGTGGTCTGGTCAGAGGTTTTAATAGAGGAAGGGACAAAAACACAACTATCATATTAACCCAAAGAAATGTGCTTTTAGCTCTAAGAAAAACAAACACTCTTTCAAAACTGCTGAATGAGCTGCAGATGAGATGAAGTAAGGAAACCTACCGGCCACCTCCACGATGTCCCCTGGGACGATGTCTCTGGCCTTGATCCTCTGCACCGTTTTCCTGTCCTGCCGGTACACTTTCCCCATCTCGGGCTCGTACTCCTTCAGCGCCTCGATGGCATCTTCAGCGTTACGCTCCTGGCGAGGAGAACACATGATGCCGTCACTGCTGTAGTAAAGCACATCCCACAGATACACACACTGCAGAAGCTCCGGACTTGATTAGAGAAAGAACCGTTTGTGTTCAGGGCGCTGACCTTTTTGTGTCAAAATACAAGACGATGTTTGTTATCGTCTACCTCCGTGACGGATGGACGATCGTGCATCACGTGTCTGCTCATGTGTTTGTGGAGCAAACACACAAACGGTTCCACGTCAAACCTTTCTGCAGATATTGAGCTAACGCTAACAGTTAGTGTGGTGCAACACATACTGAGAGAGATCTGTTTGAGACTTTGGTATGTAAGGAGGCGAGTGATGCGCTCCTTCCATGAGTGATTTCTTTCCATTTTCCTGCTGTACCCTCCACCAACATGCACACTGTGTTTGAGCCCAGCAGACATCAGTCAGAATGGACTGCCCACACAGTTTCTTTTATTATTCATCAACAGAAAACATTTTGAGACAAAAATAACTTCCAGCACCCAGAATCTATCACAATTTTTAGTCATGCCACTAAATCACACTTTAGTAGAGGCACATACAGTATTTATCTGTTCTTACTACCAACCAGAGTTTTATGGTCTAATATGGCACTGGTTTTCAGACTGGTAATTTTGATGAGTTTCCATTCTGTTTTTATTATTGTATTTTTACTGAATCTGAACATAAAAAATCTTGCATGAAACCAAGTAACAAATGTAAATGGACTGTACTTATACAGCACCTTTTTATCTGATCAAGACACTCAAAGCTCTTTACTACAATCTGTGCCTCATTCACCCGTTCATACAGCTCTATACTAGATCCCTACAAAGCTAATTGAACAAATCATTCTAAAGAGACTAATCAGTGCTTCATCACATTCATGCACTGATGGGACACACATCAGAGGCAATGAGAGGTTCAGTGTCTTGCCCAGGGACACTTCAACATGTGACTGCTGGTGGAATCGAACCCCCAACCCTTGCAATGGAGGACGACTGCTCTAACCACTCGGCCACAGCCGCCCTGTACTTGATGGCCATGAATCACTGATTTGTTAATTTTCCTACAGCTCATCGGATCACAGTGACAGGTTTCAGTGCTGGTACTTGTTGGTTTTAGAGGCATTTAAAACAGGATTTTTGTTTATTGTTGTTCTTCATTTTCTGTTTGGATGTACAAAATACAATTTCCTGTTGATTGACATTGCTGTACTTCAGCATTGGGAGCGTTCGATCCAGATGACGTCAGACATTTTGTCCAAACTCAGAGGAGAGAGAGACATTTAAAAAAGACGGTCCAAGGATCCAGCTCACCTGCCACACCCCAACGATGGCGTTGGCTATTAGGATAAGTAAAATTACAAAAGGCTCCACAAACGCTGTGATGGTTTCTTCTCCCTCCTCAAACCAGGCCAGCACCTAAAAGAAACACAAAAACAATTACATTATTGTTTACAAATCTGAAAACTCCCATAAACTTACAGTTATTAAGAAAAAAGGACAAAACCCAGAAAAAAGTAAAAACATGAGACCTGTCTTTCGTAGGAACAATTTTCAGCACTTAACTTATTTTAGTAAAAATCTGACTCAGTTGTAGACGTCTTTGTGTTTGCTAAGGTCGATTACCTGTGGCAGCCATCTTGAATCAAGTAAACTCTAAAAGTTAAGCTGTTGTAGATCCAAAGATTATTTTCTGTGCGTCACTAAAATTCATCCAGTGGTTCATGAGATTTGTTAAGACACACACACACACACACACACACACACACACACACACACACACACACACACACACACACACACACACACACACACACCCACACACACACACACACACACACACACACACACACACACACACACACACACACACGTTGCTACAGCTTGTATTAACTTTGACGACCACCTTGAACCTCTGATTAGCCTTCAGTATGTGTTGGAGATCACTCTTAGCTACTACCACACCTTCTATGCCTGAAACACTAATATGAGGTTTGAAATAAGATCAAATAAAACACACCGAAAGAAGCACAAAAAGCTTAAACTTGGCAAAAAAAAAAAAAGTTGAAGAGAGCTGAAATTAGCTAAAAAATAAAAGGCTGAAAAAGCATAAAAAACTAAATTAGCAGAAAGTAAACAAAAAGGAGCATAAAACAGCTGACATTAGCAGACAAACAGCTGAAAGTAGCAAATGTAAGCACAAACATCTGAAATCGGCAGAAAGAAGCTGAAAAGAGCACAAAAGATGAAAGTAGCTGAAAAAGAAAAATGCTGAAATGAGCAGTAAAAGGTCTGAAGGATGTTAAACAGCGTTCCATTCATTTTCTACAGAAAAAATAAAAATGGCCAAAAAGGGCTATACAGTAGTCCCTCGCTACTTCGTGGTTCCAAAAAAGTTCAATCTGGTCCTCTGGACATTCAAAAAAACAAAACAACAAAAAAATGTAGAAACGTTTCGTCTCTCATCCGAGAGACTTCCTCAGTCTGAGGAGCTGTATTCAGCTCAGTCTCTTAAATAGCACCTTCTCAGAGTGGATCAACCAGTTTTGCTGCTGACAACCAAAACCAGCTGATCACATGCTCAAGAAGGACCATCAGCCTAACAAAGGATCATTAGCACACTGATGGCTGTTTACTACTCACAGAGGGCTGAGTGATACTAGCAATCACAGCATTGTAAGAGGGGGACAGTTGAACACGTAGGCCTCCACCCCTGTTTAATGATGGACGATTTCTTTTTGAATGTCCAGAGGACCAGATTGAACTTTTTTGGATTTTTCCACCTGGATTATTGAGCATGCATCAGGATATTTTGAATTACTTCGTGGTTCGTTTTTCACGGATTCGTTATATCACAGATTTTCAAAGTAAGATTTGACATGACACAATTGGCTGATTGATGGATGAGTCATGGATTGTTTATTTAAAATAAATAATTTTAAAATGATTTTGCACCGTGTGTGCAGCCCACAAGTGCAGGGGGAAGCTCCCTCCTGCAGCTGATCAGCTGATCTCCTTATCTGCCACACACACGCATTTCTGCTGCTGCAGCTTTGTGAAGGGTTAACCCTTTGCTGTCCAGATGCACCGATCAACTTTTGTCTTCCAACTTAAAACTCAAAGTCTGTCACATCGCAAAAAGAATCATAATCACAAAATGTAAAAGTGTTAAAAGTTATTTTTAATTATTTTAGAACTTCTGTGTTCAGTTGTTTCAGTGTAATTGATCAAGAAGTACATCTCTGCTCCGTGCTGCAGAGCTGAAGCTGTGTGACATCCCTGTGATGTCCTGCTGCACTTCTCTACTATTTAAATTTCAATACTGTAACATTTTACATAAACAACCCATGCTGCATGGATTGTTTATGTAAAATGTGACAGTATTGAAATTTAAATTGCTTATTTAAGGAGGGAGATTGGGAGTAACAGGTGATGAGTGGGTGTGATTAGTCTGGCACAGGTCATGACTAAGTTTACTGAACTTGGACTACTGCATCTCTACTTCGTGGTTTTTCACTTATCGCGGGGGGAGGGGTGGTCCCTAACACCCGCGATAAACGAGGGACTACTGTAATTCAAAAAATAAAAATTGCACAAATACCAAAAGTCAAAGCAGGAACGTCCCGAACGTTTTGATGTTGAAGCAGAATAAAAACTGTGGAACGAGTTACGTGCTGAAATACACAGAAGAAAAATGGATGTCAACAGTAAAAACCCACATGAGAACAGAGTTCATGACTAAAGAATGATGCAGTTTACTCATGAAACCCAGCCAGCAAAGAAAATAAAAACGTGTTTTGAACCATAAGTCTTATCAGAACAGACACAAACGCGTCATCAGGTTTTTGTAGTTAGGCGTTCCCGTAAAAAACTTTATCCTGTTCGTCTCAAACGATTTGATAACCTTCCATAACGCACTAAAACAATCTCGCTGAGACGTTGCGTCTCATCGTGCAGCCGAAGACACGGTCAGTGGCGTCGCTCCAACGAAAAGCACCACAGCAGCTACAAGAGACGCATTAATAACGTGACCACAACATTCGTGAGCATCCAACAGCTTTGGAAAACATCGTTCTCTGTAGTTTAATGAAAATCCTCTTGTTGAGGATAGAAAACATTAAAAACTCATTTTGACCAGGGCTCAGTAATTAAACATTTATCCACAAATCAAAACTTTATTTTAAAACGTGAGCAGGTCTGAAGACGTCATCTGAATACAAACCTTTCAAACAAAACCGATAGAGTGACAGTTCTGCAGAGCTGCTGTACGAGCGAGGCAGCAGGTTGAGGAGCGCCTCCAACCAGTGTAGGTCCAGCACAGAGACCTCCCACAGACGGGCGAGGGCCCAAATATGGCCTGGAGTGGTACTCTGTCCCCCCCCCACCCCCGGTCAAACAGCAGCCCCGACACCTCCGTATCACCTGACTGGGCGCTGCACGATACATACCAGCTCTCGCACGTCACAGTTATCACACTGTTCTCGGCCATCTGTTAAGTGACGCTGCTTTAAAGAGCAGACAGACCCTCTGAAGCAAACGTCAACTCCTGTCCTGCAGGCGCCATTAAAAGGTGGGCAACAAGGTAAACACTGGGACTGTGTCCAGTCATCTGTTAGCAAAATATCCCATGAGGCCAGATTTCAGTGAAACTCTCAGAAGTGGTCACTGGACGGACATTTACAACTGATTAACTTTTGGAGTCAACCCCCATTCAAGATGGGGTTGAAAAGTCCATCACTGCTAAAGAACGTTAGGAAGCACAATCTGGCCACGGTTCAGATCAGTTGACACATACGGAGTCTGGTAGTAGCTGAGAGTCATTTATTTCAAACACGTCATGATTTTGGGGTTTTTGAGCATCAGCATAAATAAAAATGACGGAGTGACTCCATTAACTCCCACTGTTTAAAACAGAAAGTTCAGTTTACAACTGGCGCCATGTTAGTTTTGGAGCCAGATTTAGGGCTGTACTAGAGACGCACGATATTATCGGCATGGTAACAGTATCGGCAAATATTAGTGAAAGAGTTAAAGATCAAAGATCGGCAATTCCATCAAAATAACTCACCGATATAAAAAGGCTTCTGTTTTAAGTTAATTTTTAATTTAAGAAACGGTCAGGTACGTCTATTAACGCACTTTTCACTCATCGCTTGTGAACAGGTTGACTTTAGATTTGTGAAAATGTACAAATTTGCACTGATCAAGTGTCATTGTGTTAGAGAGTAAATGTCATGAATAAATTTGACATTAAACATAATCCAAGTTGAAGTGTTGCATCATTTTCAGACCCCTTTTTGACATCTGCATTTGGTATCAGTTCAAACTGACAGACCGTGCAGAGTCATGTGGTGTTTTAATTCCACAGCAGAGCAACATACTGTATGTAGTCTCTGTGAGGAGGTCTAGGGAAAAGATTGGTGCTGGTTATCAGCCAAATAAGTTTTAACATATATCAGATCGTCCAAAAATCCAACATCGTGCATCTCTATGCTGTACCATAAGTATGGATTACACACACACACACACACACTTTAACAGGCTGTTTATCTCAATGACAAGTGACACTTTTTCAGACTCAATTAACTCATTACAACTAAATATATTTTTAAAAAAGCCTCATCAACGAGCGTATAACTGAAGTACATCTTTATTTTATTTGTCCCGTTCGTTAACACTGAGTGGTATTGTAAACTGTAACGACGTCAGGGTGTGATGAGAGTTCAACCCCCAGCTCCTCCTGCTTCTAGTTGGAAGCTGTGTTTTGTGTTTGTTTACATGTTTACATGTTAGTTGTTACTTTCCACTCCTTTACGACTTTGTTTGGATTTTTTTGTGCTTTCAGCAAGTCTGAGTCACCGGCCTTTGTTTCCATCAGCCATCCTTCCAGCTGCTCATCTGCTCCTTAGCCTCAGCTGCACTCACTCAATAATCACTCCTCTCAGCAGACTTGATAAAAATTGCTCAACTTTAGTAAATTTTGCAGACAGCTAGAACATGGCGTGGCCGTAGCCGAGTCAACACAAACTCCAGGCGCTGATAACTGGGCTGGATCTTTGATGAGACGTTCTGGAAATAATTACTGGGTGTCCATCTACAACTGACTGACGTTTGAAGTCAAGTCCATTCAAGAGAACGGCTACAGCTAATTAACATTAGCCAACACAAAAGTGTCTGCAACCGAGTCGGTTTTACAGATACTGATAAAAACAGATGTGGTAGTAGCTGAGGGTCTTTAACAGAGCACACGCTGAAGGCTCTTTCATCACACGCAGGTCAGTCCACCGCTCTCCTCCCTCTGGTTGTTCATAAATCACAGAAGAAGACGACCACTTCCTGCGCAGACGTGAAGGGGGCGGAGCGGAACCAAGAGGCGTGGAGCAGAACTCAGCTGGGCTGAAGTGAAGCGTGTCGAACCTCGTGTCATTGACTAAACTGAAAGAATCAACTCACTCTTGTTGAAACTACAAAGTTGCTGTGCGTCGTCATTAACATTCCCCCGGTAATCAACCTGCACTTCATCTGTGCCGCGTCGGTCCTGTTACTACCTTGCTCAGCGGCACAGAGGCACCTCGGTGGTACGCTGCCTCCACGTGTCCTCTGAATGGACCGGGTCAGCCAGAACTTGTCTCGGTCCCAGACTCAGGCGGTGAAAGAGTCGAGTGTGAAATTTTGCGAGAGACCACGTAAAACTTTGTTCCTCAAGGTTCCACCAAAACGGCTACAACTTCATCATTAATCAGCACAAGATGATCTAAAGGCTGATCGTCCTTCGTCAGAGCTGCCAAAATTGTGTCTCGCTCACATGGTTGGCCGATGAAAGCGGCGACACGAGCAGCTCTCTGCGGCTGCTAGCCAGAAGTGCGTCCCGGCTGCGAAGCTTGCCGACGAGCTCCCGCATCGTCCGGTGACGACACGAAGGGCCTCCTCAAAACAGCACTTCCTCCTCCATCAGCACCTGGAAACAAACGTCCACCTCTGCCAGCCGTGCGCTCGCTGCGCTGCAGTGGGAGGAGCTTACCAGGAGTTCACTGCTGCAGTTTCTCTCTGAGTATAAAATGTCCACGCCAAAGAGAAACCCACGTGTACGAGATCAGATGCGTCTTGTGAAGTACAAACTCACTCTGGTGTGAAAAGCGACGCGCTTTCCTTCATTCCACACCAACACGCACCGTCAGCGTCCCAGCTGTCGTGCTCGACTTCTCACAAGTCTCAGCGCCCGTGGCCCCAGGTGATAGCTGCTCTGCTGTTGTCACCATTCCTCAGACGAGCCGAAAGCCGGCTCTCTTCTAAGAGAGCGTAATCTGAGAGCAGCTCAACAAACTGAAGATGTTCTCACCTCAGCACCACATGAGTTACTGGCTGCCATTCGTCACAGACCGGCCCATTTCATCCACAGTGTTAAAATATGGATGAAGGTTGAAGTGAGCGACTAACTTTTTACAATAGTGCATCAACGTCTTTAAAACAACCGGAGCAAACACACGAGCTGGACAATAATAAACTCATGATGTAAACAAAGAGAAGGACTCAAAACGGAACATCAGACTTACAAAAGATATGCACGCGGCCAGCAGGAGGATCCGAACAAGCAGATCTTCAAACTGTTCCAGGACGAGCTCCCATAATGATTTCCCTGGAGACAGAGAACAAAGTGTGATCCACCGCAGAACGCCAGCTGTGACCATGACGTCAGGAGATCGTTACCTTCTTCTGCTGGTAGCTCTGTGGACGGACGTGTCCAGGGTCCACATGAACCAAAAGAAACACAGGATTAGTCAAACACCGTCGTTTGAATTTGTTTACTTTGCTGAGGACATTTGTTTATTTGTCTTACAGGTGTGGTAACACCTTAACTTCAGAGCTCATGTTAGAGGTAGACCTAAAAACCAGATGTGCTCGGACCTTTGATGGTTTTAAATCTGTGCTGAAAACATCTGTCAACCGAGCGGAACCTCCTGATCTTTAATTTAGTCGATTATATTTTTATTGATTACACTAAGATTGGTTGCCATCTTAAAGTTTTGTTATGTGTATTTTATTGTGTTTTGGTCTAAACGGATTCAAAGAAGAGAAGCTCTGGTGTTTTGAGGACTACCCTGCGTGAACAATCATTGACTGCTTTCTAGGAACATCGCATGAGCTCAGGTTCACATCAGCTCCTCTGAGGTCTTTAAAATAATCTGAGTCTTCAGTTCGATGAGATGTTAAAGCCCCGCACCACATGAACATCCAGGTCTACTGGCACCGTGAAGGTCCCACAGAGGACAGCACGGTCCCCGTCATCATACAGTGGACTTTGAGGACAGGTTCGTACCGTTCAGGCCCCATTTGTCCCGCTGTCGTCTCACCTCCTCAGGTGAGAGTCCCGTGCTCTCGTTGACGCAGAAAAAAGTGTAAACTTCTTCCACGCTCTTCGTGTGCGCGTTCTCCATTCCCGCTAAAAGGCCACGCGGCTCCGGGGGAGCCTCTTTAAAACTGTACTTTAATAAAAATGTAAAAGAATAAGGAGGACAGGCAGTGGAGACACGTTCAGTCCCGGTTAGCTGCTGTGGACCGCGGGGGACGTGTCCCCGTCTCTGGGCTCCTCGTGGGGGAAACTCGGGACTTGGGTGGGATGAGCTCCTCTCTCCCGGCGGGGGCAGCCTCGGCTCGTCTCGGGGTGTTGTGGGGAGGTGTCTGCGGCAGAGTCCGGGGTGGGGGGCTGCGTTCGGTCCGGTCCCGGCGTGTCCTCTCCGTGGCGCAGCGGCTCCCTGTGGTCCGCTCGGTACCGGCGGTGAGGGTTTTATGAATCCGCCGCCCCTCTTCCTGCATGTGGACTCACTCCATTGGACGAAGCCTGCAGGACTGAAGGAGACAGGAAGTGGAGCCGGAGCGGATCTGCGACCCGCGTTTAAAGGGATAGTTCGGGTCTTCAGAGAGGGGGTCACACAGGACCTGCTGCGAACGGCTTCCGTCCGCAGCTGGAGCCTGTCTTTAAGCTGGACTCAGTTCAGGACTCACACGAGTCTTGTACAATGTCACGATTCTGACACCAGTTGTGCTTTTGCTTCCGGTGCGGCGATGGACAATACATGACAAAGACAAGGATCTCTTTCTTGAACTTTACTTCCTCAACATGTAAGTTACAATGGCAGCTGAGTTGTTCTGACTCCAACACTGTGTACTTTCAGTCTCTAGCTCTGGCACAGACAGCATTTAGCCATGTCCATGCTGCCATGAAAAATTAAATCATACACGAACTGAAATGTGTCACGATCCATGGCTGCGTTGCATTTACTGACCTAAAGGCTCGGAAAACACAAATGAAATACAAAACCAAGCTTAAAGGCTGATAAACAGTTTAACCAGCCTTACAATAGTTTTATTGACAGCAGTTTGTGGCTTATCTGTGCTCACTGGTGTGTAACCGCTACTCAGCTTCAGGTTCAAAAAGATAATTGTTTACATGTAAACAACTGTTGCCTGGAAACTGAAAAGTTCTATACCGGAAGTAGCTGCGTATCGAGTTTTCGTTTTGTTTTTTGTTGTTGTTGTTTTATGCATATTGAGTTAATGTTTATTAATCTCAGAATTTCACGCGCACATCTGACGTCATGCATTTTGATGACGCTGCCTTTTGATGCCATATCTGACGTCATGCATTTCGATGACGCTGCCTTTTGATGCGCACATCTGACGATGACGTATCAAAGGACAGCGTGGCGTCAGTCAAAGTCTATATATAGGGCTGCTGTGTTTACTGAAATATCATTTTCTGAAGGTCGGTTTGGAGTTGAACACGCATCAGAGAAGTCTGTAACTGTTCAATTTTCACTCACGGTAGGAAAAATGGAAGTGCCAGGATCCTTTCTGCAAACTGTTGGCGACGCAGCGACCAAGAACCCACTGCGGTTCTTCACAGTGGCCACGACGCTGAGGGTTTTGACGAAAGTAGGTGCAATCAGTAAGAACACAACTCCCACGGAAGACACCTCATTCTTCCTGGATTATCTGGTTTCTAGAACTCTGGATGGACTTGTCGTGCCTGAGAAGTTACACTTGAACATAAAAGAGTCCAAAAAAGCGTCAAAAAAGGCGGTTCGGGATATCCAAGATATCTGCTCCGCCGTAGAGCTGAGAGTCATGATCAGTAAACGGGATCTGTATGTCGGCGCTTTGATTGTTGATGTTTTACATAACGTCATCAAAAAACATCTGGAAACCATTGATAAACGGGGGGAACACTCAGAGAGTAAGAACATGTTGTCTGTGTTGATGTTCATTTTTGTAGTTGTAAGACTAATCACAGTAATTCTGATCCTACTGCTGGCGTAGGGGGGACTGTTTTGATCCAAACTCCAGACCAGTCCATCTGTCTTACCCGGGCTACAGTGCAGGATGACGGGGAGCCGTTTCCTGACTGTCCGAATACAGGTCCTACCCGGTTTAAGGTGCAGGGTGACGGGGAGCCGTTTCCTGATTGACCGGGTCATAGAGGTGCAGGTGGTTCAAACACTCGTGCCACCACTTCGCTCATGAAGTCTCACTGACTGGAGAACGTGTGAACTTCAGTGAAGTGGTATGTCTCTCAGCCATGGGTTTTTCTCCGACTGCTTCGGTTTTCTCCCACAAAAAAAAAAAAAAATCCCTGGTGGTCTAGTGGTTAGGATTCGGCGCTCTCAGCGCCGTGGCCTGGGTTCAATTCCCAGTCAGGGAGAAAAGCATTTTTTGTGGGCCAAGATGGAGTGAAGAAGCTTATAGGAAGCTGAAAGAACTGATTATATATACACACACATACATATACAGGTCCTTCTCAAAAAATTAACATTTTGTGATAAAGGTCATTATTTTCCATAATGTAATGATAAAAATGAAACTTTCACATATTTCAGATTCATTGCACACCAACTGAAATATTTCAGGTCTTTAATTGTTTTAATACTGATGATTATGGCATACAGCTCATGAAAACCCAAAATGCCTGTCCCAAAAAATTAGCATATCATGAAAAGGTTCTCTAAACAAGCTATTAACCTAACCATCTGAATCAACGACGTAACTCTAAACACCTGCAAAAGATTCCTGAGGCTTTTAAAAACTCCCAGCCTTGTTCATTACTCA